GCGAGCCCTCGCCATACTCCCATTGGCTAGGATCATGATGCACATCACTCTCTTGACTCTTTCCACTCTTATTAACTCCCTTATTTTGCTTATACTTAACCGGCGGTTGACACATTGAAGTTGTGGATGGATGTGTTAGATCACAAACCTTTTTCTTCAACACCATCTGATCTACAATATCCAAAGTACTGAAATATCTCTTCAAGTCTTCACACTCTACTTCTAAATCCCACATTGTACAACTCTCATCATGACTGACCTCATGTTCTATAATATGCAATTTTGTCCAGAATACATGAACCGCTTCTAAAGGAACGTGATTGCCTAGTATTTAGAAATCAGAAAGCTGACACGCACACGGTAACCCATGTGTTGTTCTAATGAAGCAATACTTGAACCAACAAATTTTACCCTTTCTAATTCCTTTCCAATGAGTTGTATATATTGTCTTGAGACAAAACCGTACAACTTGGTATAGAATTGAGTGTTACACTAATGCTCAATATTGACAATACTTTTTTGAAATGACACTCTAATTGAACATAGCTGCAACTTTAACATGATGTTCATAGCATCCTAACTTCGGCATAAATCTCCACGACTTGAGGTCAACATGTTTTTTAGTACAATGAAACATATTCAACAACTTCATAAAATCAGGATGTGTCCAAAAGGTATCAGCTATAACATCTGACTTGTCCCTATTTTTAGTCCAACACATGTATTTCTCTTTATAAATAAGGCTCAACAACATCTATATTTCTATCAATATACCTCTCTTGCACGTTATGTATGTCTCTCTAGCTTTATACACCTAGGTAACACTCGTGAGGTTTTCTGGATCTTTGTCTTTCAAAGCAGCAACTATGTTCCTTGGAGCCATATTGTACTTCGTCATGTAATTCACAAACTTTCTTTCATGTCAATTCCAACATATAAATATTAAACTATCACTTTCATAAATACGAGAAAACAATAAAAAAACTGCATTATTTAAATAGGAAACATACAACATATGTGGTGAAGAACTCCGTAAATTCTATAATGAAATTCGTATAAGAAGCCGTCGGCTCTAGACCATACAAATAAAGAATTTTATCTACAGACATACCAGAAATTTCAAACTTATGCTCTGGACCACACCTATTTCTTTGGTTTTCTTAATAAACACCGGAAATCTTAAAATTTATGGTGAATCGCCTTCGAAAAGTTTGAAATATACGAACAATGTATGGTTAAAAAAAGCGAAATTGGATATCGGAAATTTCAACGAAGGCACCAAAAATTTCAGTTTTACCACATATCCAAAGTGAATATTTTTTTAAAAAAGTAAAATTTTCAAGGTAAATAATAACAAAGGCATTATTGGGATTATAAAAATATGAGGGGAGGGGTGCCAGAATTATTTTATCGGTGATAAGTTAAATCCTCAGTTTATTGCAATATTTAAGTCAAAACATTTTTGAGCTTTTTTTTAAAGATTGCTATTTTTTTTGTTATATTGTTTAGAATATTGCTATTTTTTATGGGCGGTGTTCATTATGTCTCATGTGTTGTTTACTAACTATTTGGACACCCAAAAATATCTTTTTACTTTGTACGAAGATTGAAATTCAGACACATAAATAATACATCAAATTTGTTCATCATAAAGACAATCCTCATCCAAGTAAAAATTGTGTCTGAATTACAACTTATGGATTAACCCATAGAATAAATGTACGCATAAGTTATTATGAATTTCAAAATCTAGACAAACCCTTGGATAATATTATGAAACCTTTGACAGTAATTAGGAAGAAAATTTCATATAATTTGAAAACTATACATTATTCACACAATAAATCATACACATAAGTTAATCATAACTAAGATCAAAGTTTCATAACTCAATTGTAAACCTTACATCAGTCGTCATTAAGAGACAACTAATCATACAAAATTTCAAAATATTTACATCAAAATACAAATAAAAAAATTAAACTATTAGGTATATCTAACGTCCTCGTTCCTCCCCCGCCTCCTATAATGCAATGCATTTCATGCCTCTACTAATATTACCTATACAAATTATTAAATAAAGAAAGTGTGAAAGCTTGTCTGATCCTACACTTAGCTTAGAGTGATCAGTTAAAATATAAAAGGTCAAAAGTAACTCTTGAAGTACTAAGGCAATCACATATACACAATTTTTTTCAAAACCCTCTCTGATTTCATAAAATTTCTTAAAAACCTATCAATACTTATATGGAATTGATTAAGAAGTATTTTTAATCAATTTAAAAAGCTTTTACATTGCCTAATCGATTAAGGAATTAGTCCAATCAATAAGAGCAAGGTAAGTGAGCTATTAATCAATTAGAAACATTCTTAATTGATTATACCGTGTAGCCTTTTAGGTTTTCTTTTTTGAATTAGGATTCTCGTATTTTGAAAGCTCTTAATCAATTATCAATTAGGGTTAATCGATTAAGTCATTAAAATGGTCCATGAATGATTTCCTTTTTCGAGACAAAATTTTTCTTATATAAAGAAGATTTTTTCTCATTTCATTTTGCACCAAAATTATGAATAGAGATCCTTATATCTTTCTTCTACTCTCTCTGTATTTATATTTAATTTTCACATGAGAAATTGTCGTAGTGCTAAAAGACCGAAAATCCTTATTAGAGTTGTGTTGCAATTGATGTTGTGATTAAAATTTTTTTATTCAAGAGTGTGATTCTCTTGAAAATTATATTTTTAAAGGACTTAAATATTGTAAATTAAACTTGAAAAATGTTTGGGTGAATGTTCTTGAGCTCAGACTGTGTAAAAGCTTTGCTTGATTATTGAAGGTTCATGGGCTGATATTGCAAAAGCATTTTCACATGAGAAATTGTCGTAGTGCTAAAAGACCGAAAATCCTTGTTAGAGTTGTGTTGTAATTGATGTTGTGATTACATTTTTTTATTCAAGAGTGTGATTCTCTTGAAAATTGTATTTTTAAAGGACTTAAATATTGTAAACTAAACTTGAGAAATGTTTGAGTGAATGTTCTTGAGCTCAGACTGTGTAAAAGCTTTGCTTGATTATTGAAGGTTCATGGGCTGATATTGCAAAGGCTTAAGTTTGATTTTAATGGAACTTTCAGGAGAAAAATATTAGAGACACAAATAGGCTAAATGGTTAGGTCGAACCTGTATAAATCTCAAATGCACTCCCTCTAAATTCTTTTCGCTTTAATTTATGTTGATTATTTTATTTTTGTTGCGTATCTCTCTCCATCTCCATCTTCATTCTATCTAATTTCTATTTGCTAACATAAATAGTTTTAAAAGTAAAAATATTTTTAATTAATCACGAATTTTGAATATCACAATTCACCTCCCCCATTCTTGTGTTTGGAGTCGCTTGATCAACAAGTGACATCAGAGTCTAACTCCTGTTATAATACTAATCATTAAAGGAGAAAGGAATGACTTTAAACGACTAACTAAACATGCCTTTATCCTTCAATGAAGAAGGATATGCTTTGTGGAAAGAGAAAATGAAAATCTTCATATGGGGATGTATTATGATATTTTAAAATATTGAAAAAAAGGATCGGTTTGTTCCCATACATCAAGTTAATGGTGTAATAGTTAACAAAGATACAAACAATTGGACCCAAAAAAAAAAAAAACACAGTTTAAAAGTTAAAACTATCATCACTACCGCTCTTGGTCTTCACGAGTTTTTGTATTTTTCTCACCGCGAGACTCCATATGAAATGTAGGGTATCCTTCAGTTTACCCATGAAAGAACATTTAAGATAAAAAGAATTAGAATGAACACATTAATCTATAAATACGAACTCTGAACTCTTTAATAAAACTTGAAGAAAACATTTATGATATGCCAAAACAATCAATTCACATTGTGAATTTTATGAAAACTAGAAACGTATTTTAAAATAAGAATTTGGTTTAAAAAAATTAAATGCTTAAACTAGTTGGCAACCTAATCACTGATTTCTGAATCTAAAAATTTGTCTTTTCATTTTTTTTACTAATGAATTATTTTAAGGCTATTGTCGGTTATGGTCATTGGGGATGTGGCGTTATTGTGGTTGTCTATCATGTAGACTTAATTGAAGGAAGGTTTGAGTATGAAGAAAGTTTGATGAAGATTGTTTATGGCTATGGATTTCAGAAGGAAGAAAAATTTGGATTTAGGAAGAAGAATAGGATGTTAGATCTAGAAGTGAGGGGACTAAATTTTAAAATGTATTTAAACCATTAGTTATTTCACAATTTATCTCAAATAATAGAAAAATAGACATTTTTCTTTTGGAAGTATGGCTGCGTAGGAGCTTATCGGATATACGTATATCTTGTAAAGAAAACTAAGAAACAAGACAATCTATTGAACATTACAATCCAAATGATCTTAAACCAAACATTGACACAAAAAAAAAAAAAAGCAATTCAAGCAACTCTTGTAGAACCTGTATTGGTTGTACCATTAACCATATGAACAGCATTTGGGAAAGAGCTAATGGTTTTAAACTGAATTGACCTCAAATCAACAGCAAATTCCAATGCCTGGTTCATGTTTTGTCGAGCACCCGCTAACGCCTCAACAACCTCTGCATTCGTCAAGTAAGACGCGCTTATGTGATTCAATATTCGATCATGCCTTTCTTGGAATCTCACTACTCTTTCTTCTGCTTCTTCCAAAGCCTCCCTAATGATTTTTAGTTTTTCCAGAGTCACTTGCTTCCTTTGCCATGTCTTGAGGTTTGGCACACAAAATATGAATGATGCAGAGAAGCCTATTATGGCGAAAACGATATTGCCAAAGTCCATCACACGTTATGTTTATGCTTGATGGATATATGAGTAAAACAATGCAAAATTTTATACTTTGCTTCGATTTAAGGTTACTACATTTCTTCTCAAAGACATCACGAGGTTGTTTTGATTAGTTTCAAACCAAGGTGGAAACACAAATAAAAAAGAACAGAAAAAGGTTGCTTGTCACTTAAGTTTTGAAAGCTTTGCTGTTAGTCTACCTCGAGAAGTCCTCAAATCAGGTTTCGCTTTTCTACCTTTCCTCTTTCTTCGCTTTCCGGGGCTTTGCCGCTTTGTTGGACTTCTATCATGTTGCATTCTTTCTAGGCGCTGGCGACGGATCTCAGGATCAGCCCAACCTTTTCCCCATTCTGAGAATGAGGAAAATGGTTTGTCAGTTTTTGTTTCAAGCAACATATCTGCCTCAGGGTAAACATAGAAAGCTTCCTCAGTCTTGGACTTCATGAATTCCAAACCTAGTTTTGTTAGTTCCGGGTATTTTATCTGAACATTGGTCTGCAATTGGACAGTGGAAAACTTGGAAGTCAGATCGCAGTTGAATTACCAACACACATGGAACAAGGCTTCATATGTGCAGATAAAGATCATCATGTTAAATTACATCCATGTAGGGTCACTGCGCAAATGTTTCTATAATTTCTTAAATTTTAGTGGTAACAAATCCAACACTTTCAACTAGTTATAAACAAGCTATTCTATTTAATATCGATATGTAAGGATAGGTTAAATTATTTGTTGAAGCGAGTATACCTTGTTGTCTCCTTCCCTGATAAATCCTTTAGCTTCCAAAATTCGACTAAGTCCTCTCCACCATAATATATCAGTTGTTACAAATTTTTGAAACTGCATATAGCCATCATATATGGAAGCAAATTAAAATTTGTTTATATAAATTAGTAATAGTACAGAGAATTCACCATAACAACGACTCAGTGCGAGCTGATAATTATACGTATGTTTACCTGTTCCCTTATATTTCTAACTAACGTCATAAGACTTGGCCTCTCTCCTAGTCTTCTATCCTCGGAATCAAAATGGATATCATCAATATATGAGGAATCCATGGAATAGTTACGTGCCTGAAAAATTAGCGTCCATGACACATCAATTTCTTTCCTCTAACTATGCAATATAGAAAATGCAATCATTGGACCATGCACTATAATTTCATTTCACAGAATTTGAGCTTCTAAAACTACAAACTTTAGATCCAGAAAGACAAAACCAAGCATTTGTTTAACTTATTTATCATTTTGAAAGTTTACCCCGAAACACAAAACACATGTTTGAAAAGTATGCTGTGAAGTACCAGGGGTCAATATTTGGGTATAAAGTCACTAAACATAAATATGAAACTAAAGTATTCGACATACATTATGGGACCCTATAGTTTGCAGTAAAATACAAGCCTCCTCTTTTAGATTCTTCCTTTGAGGTGGTCCATTAGTACACACATCACATCTGCATGAAAGGAGGTTCATCATGAAAATAAATCATTTAATTACAGATAAAAATATATAAGCTAATGCAGTAAACAAGGTAATTCATTCGAAACAGGCTACTTATTGAATTTTAAAACCGTAAATGATTTCAAGTTTCTCTTATTTTAGAATATATTTTCACTTCAACCAATGCTTAAACTGTTAAACATAATAAAAAAGCAAGGCATTGAGACCAAACTTCACATACAAGAGACACTTCTGATGGCTGAAATCCTCTCCGAAGTATTCTACAAGTGTCTTTGCTCGACAACATGAAATATTCATTCCATATCTGCACAGACAATAAAATTTAGTAATAACGTAGAATCCAAAAACAAGAAAAAGATATATTCATCATAACAAACCTGAAACAATCGGACAACATGATATACGCTTGTTTTGTCATTTCTTCACTTCTACGACTTGGCAAAAGTGATGGCTTCCTTGCTAGGTTTGCATATAGAACTGGTTGAAAATTGGGGACAAATACAAGAGCAAAAGAATAAAATAATAAGCTACCTACTTATTATGTGAATCAAAGGAGTAACATAAGTTTCAAATTCAAAAGAGAATGACGAGAGGAGAAATGAAAACACATCACGAGGTAAAAATCGTACTCCCAGTATAACTAAACTTACTGCAATCTGCTAATTTCCCATCTCGACCAGCCCGTCCAGCTTCTTGGTAGTAGGCTTCCAAACTCTAAGAAAATTACATATACAATTAATAGAGGTATATCCTAATGAAAAGTACTTGACAACTTCGGAAGTGATGGTATAAAACATGGAATGAACAAGAAAATACAAATAAACATGATCTATAATCGAGTATGTCAGGTAAAATTTATTTGAAAAAAAGACCTGTGGCCAACCATAGTGAATGATTCTTCTAACATTCGATTTGTCAATTCCCATTCCAAATGCTATTGTTGCAACAACAACCTGAAGATGATAAAAGCACAATGGGTGTAACCTAAATTTGTGAATCCAGCATATCAAATTTAGGTGTTAAAAGATGGCATACAAAAACTGAAAATTGGCTACACGAATTCTAATAAAAAAATATCAGTTCCGCTTTAAACACCCCCCTTCCTCCAGAAAAACAAAAAGAGTAGTTGTGTTGATAATATTGAACTGAGACGTCTAGAATATTCTGTTCAGAATTCAGATCCATACCTCTAAAGTATTTTCATGAAACTCTTTATGAGTCCTTCTTAGATGCAACTTGGGCAGCTGGAGAAAGAAATTGTGATCAAAGATGGCAGGAGAATATGCAGCAAACATTTCTTATATCATAATGTAAAAAGAAATATTGAGCTTGGTTCAATGAAATCTACCGTGGAGCGTGCCAGAATATTTTAAAATAAAAACTGAATATTGGTTAAGACATATGATCATCCCGATTCACTAAAAATGTAAACACCCATCTAATTAAACAAGCTTGAATATAATTATAATGCATACCCCGGCATTATAAGCAGCAGCCTTCACGCCAGACTTGCATAGATACTTCGCAATTCTCACTGTTTCTTTTCTGGTGGGTACATATATAATTGTAGGTCCTTGTCCAAAAGGCTCCTTAAGCATTTTGAGTCTTTTTTCTGGTTTTGTAGGTGCATCAATTGTCTCAGATAACTCACATTGCTTGGGAGGAGGTTGCACACAAAATTCACCACACGCAACTAAAAAGAACCAACACATACAATTAGGAATCTTAGATGTTACTACTAGTACTGAAATTGCTTTCAGTTTCTAAACTAAATACGATCAATTATTTGTAATAAATTGAGAGATAGCAGAAAATCAGTACCATCCAAGTCATCCGCACTTTGAAAGACATCAACATCATTTTCCAGGAACTCAACTGTCAATTTTCTTCTTTTCTTATGATTGCCGGTGTTTCGTGAGTGCATTGCATTACTATCTTTATCATCACAGTCATCTTCATCGCCGTCCACATCATAAGAAGAAATACTGTCTGTATCAGACATTTCACCAGAATCAGAGCAAACAGACACATCATCTGCATCATTTGAGATGAAAGCTTTTTTATTTCCACCATTTTTATTGTTCCCACCATATACTTTAATCAGCTCATGAAAATCTTTCTCGTAAGAAGCCCATGATGTTCTACTATTCTTTACCTGTATGAAGCACAGTGAATTTGATGTGTTATGGAGTCACAAGATAGACAGATATATAAATCGTCACCAACAAAGTAACAAACTCACCGTGAAGCGTAAATTAGGACGAAAAAATGATGTGAGAACAACATTTGTATCTTTTGACATGCGTAGAGATTTTAAAATGTCTTCTTGAACTCTCTTTGTAGCTGTAGCTGTCAATGCCATTATAGGTATATCAAATTTCAGGGATTTTAGCTTGCCAATAGTGAAATTTTCCCTCAATGCAGATAGTCGGCTGAAACAAGAGAAGACATTAAAAACATACCATACTTACAACAGTAGAAAAAATACACTAAGAAATTGAGAACTATGCAAAACCAAAGGAGAAAAGTAACAGACCTGTAAGCAGGACGAAAATCATGACCCCATTTAGAAACACAGTGCACCTCATCAATTGCAAACAAAGCTATACCACGGCTTTCTGCAAGCTTCTGCAGAGGTTGAATCAATCTACATTGGATTGTATTGAAGTTACCAAACACAAGAAGAACAAAAAAACAGAAAAAACAAAGATTTCTAAGACACAGACACGCTTCAAGGCCCCTAAAGCATTAACCATACCTTAGAACTGTCTCTGGGCAAACATACACTATATTATACATGCCTCTCATTGCTTTCTTTTCAACAGTATTATCAGGCTGCCCAGATCCAAGAAAACACGCACTGATTCCATGTTTTGTTAGCTTTAAGCATTGATCATGCATTAGGCTTATTAAAGGCGAAATCACAACCACCACTTTCCCGGTTAACAGAGCCGGAATCTGAAAGCACAGAGATTTCCCTGCCAAAAATTAACACTATGAACAGATGCACAACAGCTACACAGAACACAAGTATGAACAGATAAAGATAAAGAACAAAACCAGATCCAGTTGCAGCCAGAACAAGACAGTCTTTGTGCGCAATCCAAGCAGAGAGAGCTTCCTTCTGAAAACTTTTCAAGGATGAAAAACCAAAATGTTTTTGCAACAAAACACTAGCTCTTTGCTCCCAATCCGACGCAACATCCAAATCTCGAGGAACACCGCGATCAATATCAATACCCATTAGAGGTAATGGCTCCTTGCCCTCTTCCACATCATCATCATCGTCATCATCATCATCAACAACAACAACAATATCATTTTTCTTTCTCGCATTGCCTTTATCAGTGGATTGAAAATAATGGTTGATTGTTCTCGGCTTCGGAACTTGAAAGGAAGATGAAAAAGTTCGTTTTTTGAGAGCATTCTCATTACTAGTGGATGGTTCACAATCACTGCTTTTACTAGTACTAGTGTTAGTATTGAAGATATGTTCCACAATGCTTGGAATCGATAGACCCACTACTTTTATGGCTTTGAGAATTTTGGAATGCTCGAAACCCATTTCAACCAATTCTGAAATGACTTGTACGGAAGATTTGTTGTTGGAATCCATCGCATTGCTTGATAAGAAAAAAGGCTAGAAATTGAAATTGAAATTGGGAATTAGAAAAATCCCCTTTTGTTTTGGGGTAAAAAATTGTAGGGTTTATCCAGAGAAAGAGAGAGTAATACATACCTGATCTGAAACTCTTCTATTGATCTGATTCGGAAGTCACAATCCCGCCAAATCGGTTATATTCTTCAGATTCCCAAAACATTACAAAAGACTCTTTTGAATTTAGGAAAAATGCTCTTTCCACTTTATACACATGCATTATACTCTTAAAAAATTCAAAATTGTTGATGCATTTGAAAAATGGTTTAATGCATCATTTGGTTTTTTACTTTAATTTCAAGTTTAAGTCTCTTATATAATAAGTCTTGTATTTGTGTTTTCGAATATTGTTCTTTCTATTAAAATGTATATTTTTTTCGTTAGTTTTTGTTATATTGGTAGTCTAATTTGGCATCAATATGGGGCACGGATTTATGATTATCTCTCATCTAAATGTTTCAACTTAACCCAACATATTTCATTTTCATTTCATTTTTTCCTCTTACCTCTTTGTGAAATTTCTAGCGTCAGTAACTTCCATCTTCATCACCGTTCGCTTAACAGAGTCATCCAAGTTCATCTTCGTGCGCAAAGGTATAATAATATTTCCCCACTGTTAACTTTGTTCATTTCATCCATTTTCGTTCATCCACCATACTGATACTTCGGTCATCTTCATTTTTAGGGTTTGTGGAACACGAAGATCTTCCACCATCTGTTTTAAGGTATGACTAATGCAAACTCTTTATATTTTTGTAACCCTTAACTGTATTTCTCATTTAGGATTTTCTATATTCCATTTCTAGGTCATGGATAATCACTTTGTCTGTATTATTCATCGCGGGATGAGTTTTATGAGTTAACAAAATAAGGTATAATGGATTAGAAGAAACCTGGGATGTGGATCCTGATTATTGGAGTTACTTCGAGGTATTAGATGAGTTAAAGGAGTTAGGTTACCCTAGTATAGAGACTTTATGGTATCATGACCAAATGGAGTGTAATAGCATAGTTGAGTTGAAAGATGACAAAAGAACTAGGAGGATGCATACAATAGCTGAGTTGATTGGGAAAGTCCATTTATATGTTGTGCATCCTGTGCTACAAGCAAATGTTATTGAGGAACCAATATTGTCACTTGAGTACAACGTAGATGTTGGTGGCACTGAAACTGAGATAGGAGACACATTGGATAAGGGAGAGATAAATAATTAGAATGTAGAGAATGTAGAAGACAAGGAGAATGTTAAGGGGACTACAGAGGATGCACTTAATATGGAAGCTAATGTGGAAGGCACAAACATAAATATGGAATCTGGAGACAAGGGGACCACAAAGGCTGAACAAGGTGGTGGAACCACTAAAGTTGAACAAAGCGAGGGGACCAAAGAAGTAGGAAATGTTGAGGGACTAAATTGTCCATGGGAGGCATATTGTGCCAAAATCCAAAATAAAGATACATGGCAACCCAGGAAGATTGTTGACAAACATACTTGTAGCAGGGATTACAAGGTGAATTTTCTCACTTCAAAGTGGTTAAGTAGTAAGATACAGAAAAATGTTAGAGAGAATCCTAGTTTAAAGTTAGTTGACATTATGGAGAAGACCCAACAGAAATGGAATGTGGGGATTAACAAAACTCTTGCATACAGGGCAAAGATTGTTCTGGACTGGCCCGATAGCTAGAATGGGCCCAATCTAGCCCTTTCTTTCGGTATGGCCCGCACGTTCAGGTTCCGAACCGCCCACTCTCCATCGGAAAATATCGACCCTTTGTCCTCCCAAGCTGGCACTGGCCTAGGATGATCGACGAGCATCTCTCAGTCTGTCCGATATCAAAGTCGTGCAGGCCACCAGGAACCAACCAGAGAGATGCCTGTAACTTGTCTCCTCCTCTGAACCAACGGCTAGTTACGAACACATCTGTCCGGTTTGACCAAGTCCTGGCAGTTACTTGATTTTACGGACCCGCATATCCAAGCATAAAATCAGGAACCAATGGCCATATGCCAGGGGAATTATATAAATCCTCACACCTGTGAGGGCCAGGTATCGAATATTCACTATTCACCACCAATACCTTAATACTTTGCTTGTATCTCCTTGTTCCCACTCTTACTTGATCGTCGGAGTGCCTTGCAGGTACAACCCCCTTTTCTCCTCCTGATATCCCAACCCGACTGCAGATCATCATCCGGCCACCTTGCAGGTTATAATCAACCAATATGATCAGTGGTGTTGTCTATGGGAAACTGCTCTCCCCATCTTTCTTTCCTCGAAATTCAAAGATCAAAGTAACTTTTCAAGATTCCTTTCACTAATCATGGTCGACCATGATGATCTCTATCTGCCCGGAAAGGATATTCTTTCCCCTGCTCACAAAACCCATGGAATTCAGGAACATCCTCACCTCGAGGATAACCTGGGTTTCCGAGACGGACAGGCTGCGTCTCCAGATTCAACTGACGCTCGACGCAACGACGACCAATTCTTGGATAAGGGACGCCCTAAGAATCCCACCGAGGAACTGCCAGAAATCATGCAACCAGTTCCCATCTGTTGTACCCCAAAATTTTCCCTCTCAATTTCTCAAGAATTCTCTCACAAGATCTCCATTGATTCAAGACTGCACAAGGTTTGATCAGCTCAAGACACCTCATCAAGCATAGATGATTCAAAATTAAGGTTTGAATTTGTATAAGGACAATTGGACTTTTAATGTTTCATATGACTTTCATGGATCATTTTGGACTCTCAAGATTGCTCATATCAAGTTTCAAGCTTTGGATCACATTTTTGCTCAGTCAACTGATCAGTTGACCTAAAATCAATTGTATTGGAAAAAAGTCTTGTGGTCAATTTACAGTCAAACTTCATAATTTTTTATCCATATCAACATTTTGAACTCATATATAGCAATTGATAAAGTTTGGATCATAATTTCTTAATAAATTTGATCAGATCATCAAAAGGGCAAAATGGTCAAAATTAGGGTTTTGACTGAGAAGGTTCAATTTTTGAGTTTTGACCTAAGACATGACTTGTTGGTTTGAGACATGATATAAAAGATTCAAATTCATCATTTGGACCTAATGGAATGGCTTAAAACATTTCCTAAAGATCAATTGATTGATAGTTGAAATTCAGTCAACTGATGAAAAGTCAACTGATACACTAAAAAGTCAAACTTTGACTTTTTGATCAAAATCAAGTTTCAAAAATCATATTTCATCAAGACATTTCAAAATATGAAGTTTGTTCATCAAGAAATCAAAAAGTCAAAATTCATTTTGAAAAGTCAAAATTTCCAAGACTTAGAATTTTTTCTAAGTGTTAGAAAATCTACTTTTTTCTTGACTTTGTGCCAAATTTTCACCATGATGCAAGATGATTCAAGGAAAACTTCCAACATGAAAGTTGTAGATATTAATTAGATCTAAAACATTGTAGGATATAACTTTTTCTATAAATTCTTGGATTTTAAGTTATAAACTCATAAAGACATGTCCATGAAACAAAGACACTTAGTGAAATTTTGCCCTAGTTAGGCAAATTTTTTACCTAACTTCTTGGCCAAGTTTAACATAGTCCCAAATTGAATTTTCAAAAATGTCCAACATGAAAGTTTTAGAGCGTGTTACAAGCTTTTTAAAAAGTCCAATAACTTATTGAGATCATGTTTGAGCTAGAAGTTTCGAAGAGATGAAGATGGCCTCATAAACTTGAATTATATGTCATTTTCTTGATGAACACTTGAGCAAATCTCAAACCATGTTACATAAATCTTGCTTTGAAGGCTTCAAAATCGATAATCACTCAATAATTAAATGTTTAAACAAATGATAGAGTCATTGTCCAAGCATTTGAGCCATTATCCAAGTTGCATTTCCATTTATGGCACAAAGCTATCATTCCATTCTTGAAAAGTTGCTTTAATCACAAAGTTAACTTGTCTTGAGCTTCTAACTTGTTTGTTCAGCACACACTCAACATGCAAAGTTATATAAACATGTTTAAAGCTTTTAACCACTCTAGATAGCCTTGTAATATGCATTGAGACAATGTGTATCAAGCTTGCTTCAAAAACAAGCCAAAGAGCCATAACATGTGAACTTGTACTTTTGATCACCCCAAGCTCTCAAAACCTTTTCCTATAAATTGAGACACTATTATGCAACTTAGGACACTGTTTTGAAATTCTGAAAACTCTCACAAACTCCCTCTAGCCAGAAATTGCACACAAACTCCATTTTTGTGCAGGTTCTGACCTTGAACTTGTATCTTCTATTTCCATCGTGTGTTTTCCATCAAAATCATTTTCAAAGCTTCCTTACATCAAATATAACTTATCCCTGTCCTTGTTTCCCAATTGTAACACCATCTTCTTCATCTTCCATAACCAAAAATAGAGCATTGCAACTGGACTTCTCCAGACCATTTTAGCCACTCTCCAATCAAGCTAATCATTGCATTAGCTTCCTGGGAACTTGAGGAAGCTAACCTGATCATCACACCAACTTGAATCAAGCTCTAACTCAAAACACGATCTCCAGTTGCAAGATGAGTTCTCTCACTTTTCATCTTATTATTTAGGCATTGTTAGGCTTGCATTTTTAAAGATAAAATGTAGATATCATTGCCCTAAAACTGTACATATCCATATATTTCATTTATATGGCTTGAGCTTAGAGAATTTTAAGATTGAAATTTCTGGAAAATTTAGGGTTCAAATTAGGGACAAAAAAATTCTCATTCATCTTTAATTTATAGCTTTAGTTATTTACATGGTTGGATTCGTGAGAAAAAATGGAACAACTTTCATGTTTGCAATTTTAATTTTCATTGAGAAATGAGCAAGATACAGGTTGTCTGGCTGGGCGTGAGGTTGAAGATGAAGTTCAGGCCATGGACTTGATTTGTAATATATATATTTATGCTTTTCTTTTATACACTGAATG